AGGCCTTGTTCCAAAATTATGTTTTATAAACACACTCTTTCTCTCTCAACATAATTATTTATGAACTTTTGAAATCTATAATAGCCGCATCTATTTATTACAAATCACCCACTTAATTTAATTACATCATTATACTAATCAAATCAAAATTGATGTTTTTATTACTAGCCTTACAATTTATTTGTGTTTTAAAAATAAAGTGATTTACCATAAATAATTATAACTTTACACTTTTACAGAAAATAATAATTATAAGAATTATACACTTTTATGAAATAAGTAATCATATGAGCCTTAAAGAACCAGATAGGCGCTAGCTATTTTTATTTAATTAATAATTTGACTCAGATCCCAATTATTAATAAAATATTCATAGGTTTACGGTAAGATAGTAACTATAACTTATCAGAGTACAAGTAAAATATGACTAATTATTTATATATAAAAAATAGCTAGCGCCTATCTGGTTCTTTAAGGCTCATATGTTTTATACAGTTAATAAACATTTAAATATATAATAAAGAATAAGAGAAAAGTGTGTTTATAAAACATAATTTTGGAACAAGGCCTCAATGTTAGCCAGCACATTTATTAATTATACAAAGTATAGAGACAATAAACTATGTCAATACAATATATTAATACAGATGAATGAATAAGAAAGCTTTTAACTATCTCAATGTTTTCATCAAATTTTTCAAATATAAAATAAGTAAACTATTAAAAATCTTTATTTATTTTTTATTTTTTGTTTTAAGACATTTATTTACACAAATTTATTGTCTAAATATCTTTGATCATTTTCTTGCTCACATTTAAAAACATACACAAAGTATCTAATAGTTAACAATTACAATATTTTGTGTAACATATCTAATAATATAACATTATAATTACTAATCATTATAGTTACATATAATTATTATTATTCATATTTAATATCCAAAGTTTCATATTTATAACAATCTGTTTCTCAACCCTTAACTTAAAATATGTATATATTTTAATTGATACCGAAACAAACAAATA